GACTATTTCTACTCCATTTTGTAGGGAGTATGATCCTGTTAGTCTAGGTGCTGTGTACTGTGTACTCAGTCATGGCATATACAGGGATTTAATCTAGGAACCATTGCATTCTGCATCCCTGATGGGTTTTATCATGAGTTAGCAGCAAAAAATCCTTAGGTGCAACAGGACAAGGGCTAATAGTTTTAGTGTAAAAGAGGGTAGATTTAGACTAGATATAAGGAAGACATTTTTTACAATGAGGGTGGTAAAACTCTGCACAGGTTGCCCAGAGAGATGGTAGAAGCCCTATCCCTGGAAACATTCAAGGCTGGGTTGGATGGTGCTCTGAGCAACCTGATCTAAAGATGTCCCTGCTCACTGCAGATGGGTTGGGCTAGATGACCTTTAAAGGTCCCTTCCAACTCAAAACATTCTACATTCTATGTCAAGATCAGGGTAGTCATGAGCATTTGCAGACATACAATGCTAGATGCTTGAGTAAGATGGCAGTTGAATAGTGGTTTTAAAAATTAGTTTTAAATGTAGATAGTAAATTCTGCTGAAATCCTAACTTTAGATATCAAAGTCCTGTTTTGGGTCAGCCTTTACACTTGTCTCTGATACAATAAAAAAGTCATCGTTACATTATTAATCGTGAGCAAAGAGCTCTGATTTCCCTAAGGACCTGCCATTTTTTGTGTGCTGTCTGTTGCTGTTGTATTTCTTCTCTCAACTCACAATATATTAAGCAGAAGAGCAAAGTTGCACACTTTCCTCTACAGAATTTACAACCACACCTATGCAGTTTTCAGTCTGGTCTTGGCCTCTCTAAAGAAAACATCCCAGTTGAACTCCACTATCATCCATAATCAGAATTATGCATTGGATTTCCCATTTACTCTCTTTGGAGATATTATTCTTCCAGTTTTGATCACAAAGTTTTCCTTTTGCAAACATAGCAACTGAATAAACATTAAAGCAAGCTAACTTTTTTTTTTTTCTTTTAAAACTTGTAACAGTTAATTTTAATTAGCATTTGACTTCTAATTCACTTTTGTAGCTGGAAATCGGTGGAAGAAGCCAGCACCTTATGATCAGTCAGGCTCCCATGAAACACCAGCTTTGTGGACCGTAGTCTAAAAAACTCTGGTCTAAGGTATCTGTATGAGTCTAGGCACCAAATGTTCAGATAGAAGTACAAGGAAGCACATCTCCAAGTCATGCAATTATTTGTCAGAGCCAATTAAAAAATACAGTTCTTCTTCAATATTGCTAATGCTTCTTCCCAGCTGGCCTGCCAGAGTGGTTCATTTTATTTCCAATCACAGATTCCAGAGGTAGCTACACCTTCACTCTTCAGGGTTGGCCTCAAGCACAAAAGAAACAAGTGATTTTCCAAGATCCCTGTGGTCAAGAAAGACAATAGTTTCAACTCCTTTAATCCCCTTTCTGGCAGCAGCACTATATTGGAAGGCAAATTCAAGCCATTCAGTTGGTACTTACACATTCTTTAGTTAGATTAGAAAGTGTTCATGATTATAACCTTTGCTTTTATTTCTGAAAAACCCTGCCATTATAACTTTATGTCCTAAACATACTAGCACACAAGCAGCGTAATGAAATAATAATATCTGTCATTCATAATTTTCTTTTTTCTTTTTTCTTGTGTCAACTCTACCGGCTTCTATCAAAGGACTTTCTTGTGTTGCAAATCTCCCACTGGGCTCCTTTGGATTACTACTGCAACAATTACATTATTGATATCTTTTTCACCAAAGACTTTTCCTCCCTTTGTTTAAATATAAACATAACATACAAGGTGACATTGGTACATTCCAGTCTGTACATTTAAAATGGATTCTGCCTTCCTTAAATACTATTAAGGCTGATCTATCTTTCTTTAAAGACAGACTGACAACAGGGAGGTACAATCTCAGCAGGTTCCATCCATGGTTTCTTGTGCAATTAAAATTTCTGCTGTGGCTGATATACAAAAGAGTCCTCCCAAAGTGAGAGTAAGCAAAAGTGTTTAAAATTTGGTTGTGTCACATTAGGGGGTCAGCCTCTTAAAACATGTATTCAGGTGTTAGATTGAGGGGTTTGTGTGTTGGTGTGTGCATGCATGCACACATGCATACATATGTCATCTTGGCAATATATATGGAAGTTGTCAAGAAGCTCTGAGCAATAACTATGGCCAGGATTATGCAGAATTGCAATCTGAGAGCAGAAGAGGTATATTTATGCTGAGTCATGGTTTGACAGTTTTTATTTCTCACTCCTTTTTACTAATTTTTATTTTTAAGAAAAGATTTTTATGTCTGTCTGTATAATACTTATCTATGCTGTTGATTATTTCACAGTGCAGTAAAGCCCACAGATTTTCACAGGAATGCATTAATACCAAGTGTCCATCAACATAAGATAAGTCTACAGAAATGGAAACCTAGAGGCTAAAGAAAGATCAATGTGGAGAATGTTCTAGTAAGGACATTGGTCAACAGCTTGAAGTATAAGAGAACAGACAGTAATAGAATCTTTTTGAAATTCATATTAACTACCTCAGTACACTCTGTAGCAAAACAATATTGCACTGATGGGGAACATACATTATCATATAAATCTTCCATGAACAACATTTAAGCATTAAAGCAGTCTAGACTCTCTAAATGAGAACATTTGTGTCACAGACTGGTTGGACATACCCTTGCCTTAAGTATGGGTTGTAACCTGTGAAAGAAGACACTTTCTCCTAAAGACATGAGCAGCTAGAGAATTATGAGACGTGCCAGTACTGTGAACCAGGAGGGTAAAACTAAGCTCTGGTCTGGGAACCGTACGGCTGCACAGAACTGAGTCTGCACTAGGCAGTTGTGCAAGGAGGCAAGAACTACATATAGGCATAGCTAGTAAACGACTGTACCTGGCAAAATATGCATGCCCACAGACTGCTATTGGATAACGCTGCCTTGCGCAGGATGTCCAGAGTCACTGGAATATCTCTGTGAGGTCCTAGCCTCGATTCAGGCATCTATTACATTTTTTAAAAATGTTGTTGAGCTGAAAATTGGGGTACAGCACATAACGGTGAAACTAATTTACCAAAGGAATAGAAGATGCGTTTTGCTAAAGTGTGTGAATGTGCTTTCACCTTTTTTTTTGTTGTTTGTTTTCTTGATCAAATATTTATTATTTTGGAATGGGGGAGAAAAATGGGGTGTGAATTTTGCATGCAAAATATTTGTTATATTCAAAGAAATAAGATCTAAATGTTTTGAAAATGAAACATAGCAGCCTTATTTCAAGGCTCCCTTCCATGTGGCTGTCTTCTATATAAGGCTACATCAACTCAACTTTGAATTGAAGTACATAATTCACCACTTCATACTATCCTTAAATAAAATAATACAAACCCATAAAAGTTTGGCACCTGAGGACAGCTATGTCATGAAAGAGAGAGCCAATACAGTGTGCGTTTAGGGCCTGACTTAACAAGTTCTATGCAACTACACCTATCAAAAGTTATTTAGCTTCTATTCAAACTTTAAAACTCTTCCCTGCCTGTATTAAAAAAGTGCTGTGACAATATGAAGTGCACTAAACTGTACTAACAATATAGGAAAAAAATATGAGGAATCCCTGTGCTTCCTCTGTGAGTTGCTAAGAAACAAAGAAAGACTCTGTTGGTTCATATCTCATTAGGTCTTCTCTGTTTTAACCTTTGCTTTGTATTGCTTTGAAAGTACTTTTTTCTTTGTCACAGTTCATAGCTGCAAGGCATCAGCAGCTAAATAAAGTTAAAATTGTTGCTTATTAAAGAGTAGCAATTCACCTCTAATCAGATTTTGACACAGGTATTTTTTTTATCCTATATATGAATTATGTTTATGACAATCTTTCCCTTGACAGTTAGCGTTCATCATGATCCAGATTGGTCTCCTAGAGTTCTGTCTTTCAAAGTATGGAGAAAATTGTTAGGGTGTTCACCTGTTCTTTACAAGCAAAGACCATGAGCCTAAATAAGTATTTTAACTGGTATGTTAGCATAAGAATATCCTTAAAAATATCTTAATTTCAGTGGGAAGTGCAGCTATAATAGAGCTTGGTAGTGCTGCTAGAAAGAGAATATTCACCTCAACAACTTGCCCTGATAAGGGAATTACAAAACAGTACTCCAGAAAATATTTTTTGCTACTTCATTATTAGTTGGCAACATGGTGAAATAGTCAGGAAATCTTCCGTGGGTTCTGTTGCTGTGAAGGTGAATCCAATGTTAACAAATCGAATTTCTGATACTGATAGAAGAGAATTTCATAAACAAACGTGTAGATTGTGAAGTCACTTGTAAAGCCCTCCATATTGCAGTCACTTGCTGCAAAGCCTCAACTTAGTGTTATCCACGTGTAACGTATCACGGACACAATATGCTTCAGCAAAAAGTTCTGTAGTTACTGAACATACATTACTGCTTTTTGAGATCTTCGTAGAAAAAAAAAAAATAAAAGAAAGAAAGCTTGACAGATTGGTCCCAGATTTGAGTCTGTTAGAAAATGTACATTCAATGTTTGGTCTTCTATTCTTGATAAAAGATCAAGGTTCACTTCTGGGTAAGGAATCAGAGTAAACAAACAAACCACTGTACAGTTGTTTACAATCTTGTTTCCCCCCTGCCCTATATAATGTACACACAGTTCATTGTAATACTAAAGCAAAGCACTTGGTATGTAACTGATTTAACAGACTCCTTATAAGCCCTCAAAAATAGATTCAGTGTTTCTGAAAAGCCCATGTTTTTTTAAGGCCACGATAATCTGCCAAGAGTCATTTTGTCTTTAAAACAGCATAATTAATCTGATGTTTCCATTTCTCAAGTAATTCCTCTTCTTCTTCTCCATTTCTCACAAGATGACCCAATGCTTTTCACTCTATCTGCGTAAACACTGGAGATCTTGAAGGCTTGGCTGTCCCCTCACTACTTGCTTGTAGTTGTTGAGATCCAACATTGTCTTGAACTACATTCACAGCGAAGAAGAACTTTGAGTATAATCTCTGATGAGGAGAGTGTCATACTTTGGGGAGGATGGGATACAGAGAGCTGATTCAGAAACGGGAGAGCTGGGAGATGCACTTCCAGAATCGATAGAGTCTCTAAAAGGAGAAGGAGGAGTTAAAGCTACCAACTCCTCAAGATCTTGCTTGGCTGATGGGCCCTCTGAAGTGCCTTCTTTGACGCTGCCATTTGAAGGTTTCCTAGTTGACTGTGAAGCGCCATTGACTTCAATGGCAGGAAGCGGTTGGATCTCTGCAAGCGTGGTCATTGTAGTAGGGAGCTGGATTTCCCGTGGAATCAGGTATGAAGAGCAGAGAGGAGTGGCCACCATTGTCCCTGGACTGGCCGTTGAAAGCATCATCGAGTTCAGCTCACTGATATTGGCGGTAAAGCGAGTAACCACGCTACTGATCTGCTCCATGAGGGAGCCTTGAGAGGAGCTACTTCGCTGAGGAGGCTCTGACTGGAAGGTAGGAGCATCGTCTTCTGTTCGGCTAACGGAGGCAGTTCTGTGGCTCAGGGTGCTGATAGGCGAGGGACTCTGCGGTTGGTACTGAGCTGGATATTGCTCTTCTGCTTCTGAAACCTCATAAAGTGTTTTGGCACTGGCCTCGGGAAACGTAGCACTGCTACTGTGTCGGCTACTATCTGTGCTTTTAGAAAAAGGCTTGATCACTGCAGTTTGATTTGGGTTCTCTTTTTTGTTGATGTGGACTGACAACCGCTGCCAAAGGTGTGCTCCTCTGCTGCTTTTCTCATTCTGGGCCCAGGAAACTGATTTCCCATTAGAGCTGTAAACAGAAATGACATAAGAACGTAACTTGCATCCAAGCTGAAAATGTAAACACTGTACCTATAGCATGGGTATGTGGTGTCCCAGAGCTAGTATTCAGCATAAAGCTGTATCTGCATCTGTATCTGCATATATATCTACCTATTACAATGCATCTACATCTCTCATTTATACCTTTATGTTGTAGGAAAACAAGCAGAGTCTGTCAGGTCATTTCACAGGCTGTTTGTGCATCTGGCCTACTCTGGGCTAGTTCGTGGCCACTCTTGGCCCCTCTGTTGACCTTGGGACATAGCTAGTGTCCATCTTGGGGAAGAGAGCAGCTTGATGGTTTTGCTTCTGTTGGATTGGTGTCAGGAAGGGGGACCGTGGGACTGCAAGATACAGGGAGGAGTAAGGAGGAAGCAGATGCTTGAAGGGAATAGATGAGAGACCTGGAGTGGCTGGGCTACATGGGACAGGTATTCAGGCTGGCCTGGGAGCAGTCAGTGGTAAGGAGCTTGGTGTATGCAGGACAGTGGTCACGGATTCATGGTATGAGGCAGGGAGTGTAGATTGGGAGCTGGAGCAGCATGGTCTATGATGGCTGGGGAAAAAAAAAAAAAAAAAATCAGTTTATATTCCAGTACTTGAAAGTACTGGTGTGATGTGAAGAAAAGGGCTATACAGGTTGTGGGTGGAGAGACGCCTCTTCTTCATCAAGGTACTTGGTAAGTTAGCCATCAGTAGCTTAAAAAACAAATTGTTTTTAATTCCAGGTCAGCTCACAGAATAAAACTACATTACTAGAGGAAAGAAATAATGGACAAGCTATACAAGCAGCTCTTCATGGTTTGGAAACAGCAATAAACACTTTGCACCACTGTCCTGCCAATTGAATCCCTTTAGGGTAATTTCTGTTCTGATCCCATCATACCCTGCTCTTTGTCAGTTTCTTATTTTTCTCCTCTTGCTACCTAAGAAAATCCAGCTGTAGCAGTTATAAACACATAGTATGAAAACACTCCTTTCCTTTTCCACCCTCCTTAGGCTGATGAGCTGGTGTTTACACACACATTAACCTATAGTTCTTGAGATTAAGAAAGACCATTAGAAATGTTAGCTGAAACAGACAATGACTCTGAAATGATGTCAACAGGAAAAACATAGTCTCCACATACAGATAAGCATGATTTATATAAAAAATGTAACATAACTTTAAACAATTTATTTAGTTTTCCAAAGCATTTGCTACGACCATGTAGGATTTTTGGAAAGACAACCACATTGGAGACCCTGGCACAGTATCACAAATGTGTTGGTTGGTTGTTTGCCTTTTATGCCTGAAATAGATACACTCACGTTAGCCTGCAGTGTAACAGTTTGCAAGACACACAGTTTACTAAACACAGATGACTTTATACCAGCTTTCATGTGGAGGCTTGCCACACACTATCAGTTTAATAGCTCTTCCAGTCATCTAAAAAAAAAAAATTATGCTGAATGTAAACAAAATCTTCTTGTGGATTCACATCCCCGATCACATTACATGGAATTATGATGGATCATGTAACACAACATATGCAAACGGCTTTCTCCTTCAAAAGCAGCATGACAGAATCTAGTAGACAAACACAACATAAACCAGTGGGTGTTTTAAGAGAAGCTAGACTGGGAGGTGGTATATATGGGTATATCAGGGTACACCTCTTTGCTGCAGTGATCACCAGGATGTTGTCTGGATCCTGGAAGTTAACTTCTATGCACCTACCTCCAAAATGCTAGGCAGAACATCTGGTGGCTTGTAATTTGCTCTTCAGACAGTGCCTTCCTTTTGCTGTACCTCAATCAGAGCAAGAAGGAAAACTAAAATCTAACCTGTAGCACTGATCACTTTGACTCTTTGCATCTCTGTGGATGCAATTCTGAGCTGAGCAGGTGCTGGGACTAATGTATTCCGAGGAAAACTGTTGCTTTGAGGATTGTGTACTCCTCTAGCTAGAACATGTAGTGGTTGTTGAGAGCCGTTTGAGAGCCCTATCTCCTAGGTTATGCTGAGTCCTGAGCTCAGTGGGAGCTTGGTGCTAGCAGCACAAGCATTTGGATCCTTTGGCAGGTGAGATCTTGCCTCTAGTTCTGCTATGATGACCATGAGACCTCCTCCCAGCTCCTGCTGAGTATGAGCTGGATCAGGAAGCAAGGTGACCTGGCACTTTTAACTCTGATCTGACAGAAAGAGATGGCCTAGTTCCAGTCCTGGATGTCCTCCCTGGTGGAGTCTCTTAATTTCTGCTGAGTTCAGAGCTCAGAGGGATCTGTGACAGACCTGCCTGTCACAGAGGTAAAAGAAATGCCATTAAGATGAGTGAATTAACATGATTAGCCAATGCAAAAAGGAATGCTTGCCCAAAGAAAGAGGTATATTCTAGCACCCTTCCTGAAGTCAAGCCCTGGTTTAGTATACATGTCCAAGCCCTATGGCTTTAAGTGGGTACATAAAGCATTACATGCATGTAGACATTTTTGGTTGACTGTAGGTCAGACTGTAAGAGATTGTGAAGGGAACATGTCACTCCCTCTCTGTTACTGTTCAGGAGACAATAGTTAAGGAGAGGTGGGAGGCTGAGGAGTGTGGGGAAAGGAAAAGGGTGAAATCTGGGGCTGTGTCCAGCCTTTGGCAAGGACAGCTGAGAGTTAAATCTTCAGTGGAGCAACTGTCACCAGCATCCCTGAATCCCAGCTTGGTCTGGGGTCAGATTTGACTGATGAACCCATTTGCTGCCTTTCCACTGTGCCCAAGGGTACTCAAGCTGGATGTGTATATCTTCTCATGGAGATCCTACGGCTCTAAAGGAGACCCAGTAGCTCTTTGATGTAAATTTTGTGCAAAAGCCTCAAATACTCGAGTGTTATTCATTGCAGATTCCTTGATCTAAAAATTTGAGTAGGAAGCAAGAAGCAATTTATCACCTAGGAATGAATCCTATACTTACGATTGTAGTAGTTTGCCCAGCAATAATTGGAATTGTTATCTCAGAAATGTATCACCCACCTGATCATGCTGCACCTACTTGCTACAAAGTCAACACTGGACTGAGATGTACAGTCATTTATCACCTCTGAAAGGAGCACCACTTGTTTTCTATGACTGGTATGAAGCTGGGTTATGGGTAAATTGCAGTGACAGTACTTTAAGATCCTGCTCTAACTGCATCTTGCTACTCTCTCAACTGGAAGCCATTGCAATGCATGCAATTTAAAAATAGAGAAATAAAGATAGATCAGAGACACTGACTATGATGCCTACTAATGGAATTGTCTACATTTTTTATACCCAGCCCTGCTTGACCCTTTAATGATGGGAAACTTTAGGTCAGTGAAATTTTAGAGTTTTCTTGCAATCAGATTTTGGCTTCCTCATATAAGAACAGTAGAATTACACTTTTGAGCTCCCAAAGGAATCCCACTATTACATTTGGGTGAATACATGCCTTTCTAACCTGCTCTGCTTTCTGCTAGCACAATGTACTGAGCAGAGCAGAGCAGAGTACAGGTCACATCAGTAGAAGAGCAAACTCTGATTTGTGACATAATTTTCAGACCAAAAAATATTATCAAAATACTTTCTATTTGGTAGAACAATAGCTTTTGGGTGGCACTTTTTTTTTTTTTTTTCCATTTCCTTCATTAAAGGTTAATTCAGTTCAGCTTTATGTACAAGAGGAATGTCCTCAGAATCAGTCATATTAATTGTTTCTCCAGTCTCTTCACTAAAAGCTGCTTTGATTTTGACAGCTAGGCTTTTCCCCAACCCACTAGACCTATTATGATATAATATGTATAAGAAATGAAAGTGGTATAGATGAGAGAGCTTTTGAAGTCTCTGATATTTCAAATATTTCCTCTACGGTTGTCCACTTGCTGACAGAATAACAATTAGTATTTTCATTAATAGCCTGAAGTAGCTAAAATTAATTCTGATTGTGAGTGCCTAGGTACTAATATTGGGACAGTTACTGAAAGCATGTGTGATTTGAAAATAAGTCACTTATTCTCTTGTTAATATCTTTAAATGAAATAGGAAAATCAGTTTAAGATGATGGGATTCATTGCTTTCTAAGAAAGCTTGGAATGCTGCATAGTATTGTTCACCAGTGGGAACTGGAATGCAAGGGGAATCAATAGAGATTAATACAAAACTTTAAAGGAATTTTTGTTCTTTATCATGTACCAATATCAGTATCTGATTCCAGATTTGAAGTGATACAACTGAAAACAGATACTGGACAATAACTTAATAGAAACCTGTATGATCTGCTTGCAATCTGTCCTCACATGAATATAATGAGTGGTTCAAAATTCTTTAATTTATAATTCCATGCATGCAAGTTCATATTTCAGAACACTGGTCTGAATTTTGTTGAGCTATAATGAGCAGCAAAGTTATGCTTAGATGTTTCAATGGCTGAAGTAGAGTGTTGCATTCAATTTCAAAAAAATATCCTGGTTTTTGAGAAGGTGACATAGTTAAGTTATTGATCCAACACTGTGCAGAACAAACCTGTTTCTTAAAGATGGTCTTCTCCTCTCTTTAAGGAAGAAGTTCTTCTGTCTTGTCCACAGAAGCAGGTGGCAATTGCAAGCAGGATAAACTTCTATACCTAGTCCACAGAACTATCTGCCAAAGAGTTGCCCTTTTAGAGTCCACTGGTGAAACATTATTAGACTCAATGATATACTTACTTTGCCTGAAATGGATTGGTGTGCTGTCAGTAGATTTAATTAAAAACTGACTCTTCATAATGGGTGATGTCAGTGTGTGCCTGTGATGCATGCAAGCACAGGCACATGTGCATTCTGTTTCTCTAGTCTTATCACTTGAGCCAATCTCAGATCAATGTATATTTTGCTTGTAGTGACCCAAGTTCTTCATCCTTGGCAGAATGGAAGTGCCTTGCAACATGTTAAAACCACTGAAATGAAACAAGTCGTTGAAGTGGTGAACTCCAGTATACCTGTATGGAGAAGTCATTATTTCTCCTGGGATTGCAGGACAACCTAGATGATTGGCTAAAACTGAATGCAGAACCTTAAGGTGGCTAAACTAGGTCAGTTCTACCACTGTAATGGTTGGTGGTGTTGCTGTTCCTCTGATTTTAAATAGCTTTTAAGGAAACCTCTACACACCCATATAATTGTTTCCCTGGGTGAAAACCAATTCTGCCACACACAAATAACCTCCTAGCAATATATCACTCAAGTCATTTAGCCTAAATTATTCCCATCTTGCTTGTTCAATGGAGGTAAATAACAAGGAAACGCAAAAGATGAATGATACAGGGCAAAAATTAATTTTGACCTGTCCTGAGCTCTAAACAGCATATTTTGCAATTATTTTGCTAACAGAGCTGTTTTCTGTTAACAGCAGCAGGGACAGTTATTTATATTACTCCATGAACTGTAATCTGTTAAAACCTCTCCTCATTAAAATCACAGCTGACATTTAATTATGAAGGACTTTAATGTTTAAGGATGAAAGCAACTACAAAGTGAGAGAGAGCTGATGGGCAGAAACTTTGCCAGTCACCTCCCAGTGCAGCCACCAGCGACACTAATGCTGGCAGCTGTTTCAGCAACATGCCTGGTTAGAACGGGAAATGAAGTGTCTGGTAAAATGAATGAAGCATTTCTAGGATGCCTGATGCCATGATCCAAAATGCACACCCAATTTTGATACCTGGTGTAACATCTTTCCTCTATTGCTGCGACCTCATTGTAATTGTTAATTAATGCAGCTAGTGCTGGGTTTCACTTCTCATCTGAGAAACATCACTTCAAGCATCTCTGCTACACTGGAGCATCCTACTCTCAGGATGGAGAGAGGACAATGCCACCTCTTGAACTCTGAGTTCTGCTTCCTGATACACAAAGCTTTCAGATGCTTTCAACATTGCTTAGTCAACATGTTTATTCATTTTGTTTTCATTGATAATTTGCTAAAGGTATGAAATGGAAACTGGGAAAAATAGGTACCATGAGTTTTACCTGAATTAAGAAGCACAAGCAGTGCACAAGGAAGGAAAAAAAAAAAAAAAAGTTTTAACTCTCCCAGTTGTATCTCTAGAGTCAAGGGTTGATTTTAATTCTATCCTTTGCAAAGAGCATACAATTGGAGAAATTTCAGGTGTCTGGCATACCTGATAAATAATTACAGAGGTATTTACGCCTATGGGACTTACCAGCAGAAAAGTTACTCTCGTGAATTATTAAGCAGCTCCTTATTCATTGCATTTAATCAAATCAGAATTAGAATTGTGATGCAAGAAACAAAAAAAAAAACCCAAACAAAACAAAAAGATGTGATGCCTGCTTTGTGAAAGCCTTATAAAATATCCCATTCCACAACTGATTTTATCAGCTATGTGTGGATGATGCTTACAGGTGATGCAGGATGTAGTAACTTCTCTTAATTAGAAATAGCCTTACAAATGATCCTATAGTGTACCCATTACTGCTATTTTAATGTCATTTTTCATCCTGAAAAATCTCGAGCCATTTGTAAAACCAAGGTGCAGAGATAGTCAGGCCCTGATGTGAAAAATATCTGCACTAGGGTTGGAACACAAAAATAACATTGCACAAAGGATCTGAGAAAATGAGATGAGTAATACAGCCCAGCATGAAATTGCACAGCATTTTTGAGACTGCAAGGATGTGAGTGTGATTTGGTCAGTATCATGGGACCTCTTCATCCCGTGGGATGCGGACATTGTTTCATTATTCAGAAATGGTCAGATTGCGGTCTCTGTCCTTTTCTGTCTGCATTTCAGCCCAATGACTTCTATCACTGATCTGATAATTAATGAGACAGGAGAATGGTACCTACTTTCCTTTCTGCAGCATCTACTTTCTCCCTGGGAGATTCCTAGGCTATTCAGTGCCAACTCTGCTTAGCTCATGAAATTTGACAAGGACCACTGGCCAGGACACTCTGGCTGGAGACAACAAAACACAGCCATCAAATGCAATTGCATTCTCTGTTAAGCAGAAGGTGTTCTTAACTGTTTGAGTAGGTCTTGCAGCTGACAGTCTTGCTGTGGAACTATTAGACTGACACAGTTTCCAGTCTTTTCGACTGTTAGGGCATCCTCTTTAACAGGAACCTTTTTCTCCTCTCTACTTGACTCAGATCGATTACAGTCTGGAATGGAAATAGATTCTTCACTGTGAAGATATAAAATATAAAAAAGAAGTTTTTCAGGTGTATATATATGGCCAGGCAAAACAGAGCCGAACACTGTACAAGAAAATACAGTTGATACGGTAGTTTGACATTTACATGGACTTTTCTGCTCTTCAAAATCTTATATAGTGACCCCAGATAGCTTTTAAATGAAGAATAAATATCACTGAGAACTATGCAATGTAGGAAAAAAAAAAGCCAAACAACACACAGACAAGAAACAGAATCCCAGCTGACAAAAGAGAACAGGCGTGTGTAAATTTAGTACATCATTCAGCGATGGATGTTCCTGATGTTACTTAAACAGCAGGAGACCCCCAGGTGTGTGATATGTGGTGTTATAGTTGATAGCCTTATGCACATGAGTGAATATTAGTGCACCCAAGGGGGTCACAACACTGTGCAAGTGTTTCACTAAACATCCTCCTGCAATGATAAAATTCACCTGTGATCTAACACTTGGGAAGAATAAAGGTAGAATTTGGTTGTGCTGTGCTCTAAGGTTACATTTTTAAAATACCTTCCAGGGGTCAATAAGGAATGAGTAGATGTTTTAATAAATGGTAGTCAAAATGCTTCTAACTTGCAGTAGAATGTAATAGAATGATACAATGCTTATTAAGAGTATTGTTTAATGAAAGATTTATAACTGTCTGTGACACATGCAGCTTATTCATTTATTAATCGAGATGTCTGGAGAAATAGATTTTCTGTCCTAAGGGAGAGTTCAACATTTGGAAATCTGACTGGACTCAAAATGAGATAAATAGCTGAAATTTCCAAGTATTTCACAGAATTAAATAGTTTGAAATGTTTCCATACAGAAACATTAAAATGGCCATATTGTTAATGAATTCATCCTGTTAAGGTTGAAAAACTGTGTTATTTGATGTTCATTAAAGTTGTAACATTGCTGTATGTCATGCAATATACAGTGGCCAAAACAAAATCGAAAATAAATATATGAATTAAAGGGAGAAAGTTAGGAAAAAGATGTTCTGAACTGTATTTAAAATTAATTTGAAACCTTTCCTTCAAATTGCTGTGAACCTCAGTACTTTCCCATGAGATATTTTGTTTGAGAAGAACCAACATTTTCATATTGAAAATGGTTTTATCGATCAGTATTTCTATACTCTTTCTAAAAGCTCTTTTGATTAGACCTAAAGTAAACCCTATTATGTAGTGGGACCAGCATTCCGGAGTAGTTCTGGAGCTGCTTACTCCAAGTTTGAACACTGTCTCTCTTCAACTGCTCTACTGGCTTAAAGAGTTAGTTGTAAGTTTTCTCCTCCCCAAAGCACCATATTACAACAACATCACACAGGACACGTGGTTGGATCACTTGAATGAATATGGTGCAGGGTTCTTTGGTGGTCAGATGGAACACAGAGATCAGTAGTGGCTATGTGTTTTCTTTTTTCTTTTTCTTTTGTAAACGTACTATATGGGATGCACAGGAATTACAGACAGAGGATCTGGCCTGGCATTGTCCCAGGTCTGCTCCTCTTGTTCACAGACATGTCACACTGCCCTAAGGACACTTGCTGTTTGCTTACCTGGTCATTGTAGCTCTCCCACCATTCCCCATACTCCCTTTTGGGGTGAAACACTCTATTTCCGACTTGGGCGGGGCCAGTCTCCTGCCTTTGTACCTAATAAATCACGACAACAACAGGAGCAAACAGAAAGAAGTGATTGTGTGCTTAGCTTTCTGTGACAGCTGCTGTGCAAAGGGCCATGCACATGAATGGTACTGTGGCAGTGGTGGGGATGGTGCAAACCTGCTGTGGGAGTGGTGGAATAACTGCATAAAAGTCCAGACCTGTGCTAAAGCAAACAGGGCTATACAGGAGAAGTGCTCACCATTTTCTTTTATATATATGTATATAGGAGGAGCTAAAAAATTCTACAAAACAAATAACATGCTAATCTTTTGCCTTTAATTTTCTTTTTCATTTGTGTTTTACCAAAATGGTTGACTAAACACTTTAAGGGGAAAAAAACATTTACATTAAGGATCAGTAAGAAATCAGCTGGTGGCCACGTTCTCAATCCTAACTTAAACTTATTGTCTGATCCTCCATCTCTGTAACACTTACTCTTCTGCTTCTCAAAGCAAACACCAAGGTAGTTGATTGTTTAGTTAAAGTTTGGGTGGGCTCACACTTCATGTTGTGAATGTGCTTTCCTGTCTCCATAATGAACAGAGGGAGACCAGCTGACTTGCTTAGATGCAGTCATAAAGCCAAGAGGAATCAACCCCAGTCCTAGTCCTGTGCAATACTATGAATGTTTTAACATTCATGTAAACATCCATGTTTACACTTGGATGAAATATTCACTTGGATAAGTAGTTTAATACTTGATGATGTAATTAATTGCTGGATAGGATACCAGGATAAGACCTGGGCATTGTTTGCTCTCTGAGCACTTAACTGGGAGGTAAGCATTGAAAGGTCTTGTGCTGGCTCTCTTTCCAGTGGTGAATTTCACCCTAATCATACAAATTCTTTTGTTAGGTGTTGAAATACCTTTTTAAATGCTTTAATAACACTTGGACAATATGTCTTATGAAAGTGTTTGTGCTAACTCATTCCCACACGCTATGACCTGTGTTATGGGAATTTAACATACTTTCGTGGGGACACTTGTATGCTTTAACATTGCTAACATTACAGAATTAATGACTTATTTATTTCTTGTCCATTAACTGATCTAGATAGCAAAAGACGTCTTAAAGAGAACAACCCTGTAAAAGAGGAATAACCTGAGTACACACAAAGTGAGGCTGAACCTTGGGTGCAGTTGTGGTAGACCCTCAGGAGACCCTCAGAGGCAGTGTATATTGCATAAATAACTGAAGAAGCAGCTTAGTGAATCTAAGCGTGAACCGGAGACAGTAAAATGAGATGTGCTCAGTGCAGAGAAGTCCTTTCATTTACAAATTATAACCTTGCTGAAGGGAGGAACAACAAGAGTTTTGCAGACTGGCTATCAAGGTTTTGAGGCAATCCAGAGTGAGGTATGTGCAGTGCTTCCTGATAGGCATGAAGCTTGTGCAGGACACATACATATTAAATGGAAGTTGATTCCTAGAGCAGAGGAAAAATTGGAGTGGCTTAGAGAATAGATAAATTCACTGAAAATACAAAGGAAGTCAAACTGGATCATACGAATTCATTTGGGATAGCCAGAGGGAAGGAGCAAAGAATGTGTAGAAACTTCAGAGGAGAGAAAAGGAAATAAAGTTGAGGTGAAGGTGTTAGACATCAAAGAAAGCAGAGTTTAGGAAGAGCAGGAAGGAAACACAGTTATGTTTAGACCTGATAACCAAAAGAGATACTGTGTGCACAGCAAGACAGAAGAAAAAGTCAAGACTAAAAGAAGGAATCTGGATGCTAAATACTCACAATAAGCTGAATACTAAAAAGTGGCCAACAAAAGGAAACAAGAAGCAAGTATCCTTGGCAGCTCCTGAAGAATGCCCAGTACGGATGCGTGT